TTTCCAATTTCGTTGTATTTCGCCGATACCCCCCCAACCAAAAATTCATCTTCTTCGTTTTTTTTTTGTGTGGGGGGGTGGGGCAGGGGATGCGCCGCCACGTGTCCGCCAATCTGCGCGTCCGTGCGGACTGGCCGCGGCCGCAGAATTGGCCGCGCCTGTCCGCCGCCGGGGGGGATACATAGCCTGCAAGGGCAACTACGCCGCTCCAATGGGAGAATGCTACGCGGCTCTCTGGGGAATCAGTCACTTTCGCGCTTACCTGTACGGGCGGAAGTTCACCTTGGTAACCGATCATGAGCCCCTGTTGGCTCTGAAGAAATCGAAGGATTACTCTGGCATGATCGGGCGATGGGCAACGGTGCTGCAGAGCATGGACTTCGACATTCGTCATCGGAAGCACGAGAAACACGGGAACGCGTACGGACTGACACGATTGCACCGGCCTGAGAAAGTTCCGAAGAGTGAGGAGGTGATTCCGTGGAACGAACCCGAATAGGAGGTTGGACCTCGGTACGGCCAAGTGGAGATCTTGTCAAAATAGTAAGAGACACGAGGACCAAGTTGTCTGTTCTACCCTCTCCGCAATTCGGTCCCATCTCTCCTCCTCTATCATGATGACTACCCCACCTGTCTCCGCAACCCCTTCTTCTCCTGCTAATTCAACCCCTCTCACTTCCTCAGCTTTCTTTGCCCCGATAAGTTCTGCTATTTTTGTACGTGTATTGCACGGGTTTATGGGGTCGACTGTCATCCTTTCAAACCGGGTTTGTCGATTGGGTAGAATGTGCCACATGTGTCAATCGTGCGCACGGGGCCTGCGTTCGATATCGGACAAGTAGCAAGGAATGGAGGTGCCCCCTGTGTAGAACGAACAAACTCCCCACGGAGGTTCGATATAGGGCCGCCCGTACGGACGACCCTGAATACGATGAAAAATACCGACCAGCGGAGGTTTGGACGGATAAAATTTTTTTGGCGAAATTAGCAGGATTATCATTGGGTCACCTCACCAAACACGACATACGTAGGGCAACCGAGAGATCTCGGGACTATCGTGGATCAACGGTCATTTGGAGAAGCGTAAAACTGACGGATCGGGTTCGTGGTTGACGGTTCCCCATCCATTCCAGAGATATGATTGGATCCGATCGGCTCACGAAGAACAGGCCGCTCATTTCGCAATACATTTCACGGAGGCAACTATAGACCAGAACCGATGGTTCTGGTCCAACATACGAGATGATGTCAGATACATTGTTGCCAACTGTCTGGTCTGTGCCGCTGATCGCGCCCCAATACGGGGACCAAACACGATAGTACCAACGGAAGTAGAGCGCCCCTTCCAATGAGTCAGTATGGACACAACAGATATCGATGTGCCACCTGGCCCAAACCGCAGTGAGTATTCTATCCTTTTAGTATTAATTGACCATTTTTCCAAGTACATCGAGGTCTATCCCTGTAAGATTCGCAAGGCCGCAGAAATAGCCACGTACATCGATCGGTTCCTCTACACTCATCTAGATACGGAAGAAATTTTAACCGACAATAGGTCCGAATTTAAGGGAGAAGGAGGAACTGCTCGCACGAAGGGGCGTCATGCTCCGATATACGGCACCCCACGTGTCTCAGTCGAACGGATTGGCGGAGAACACCAACCGCATGATTAAAACGGCCCTTCGCAGGAATTTAGCGGCACATGACACGCGTCCGTGGCCCGAGATCGTATATCAGATCGTCGGGATCCACCGGGCCACCCCTCATGAGTCCACGGGGTTCACCCCCTTTCAGCTTCGTACTAATAGCCTCCCCTGTGTCGACTACCGGGGTAACTCAGAAATTGCCGAAGCAGGGGGTAGAGACACGCGTGCAGCCCTCAAGGCCAAGGCAAAAAGATATACCGAATTAATGGAGCGGACCGTCCCGAAGCTAGCGCGAAAAAGACAGAGGATGACCGATCTGGCCCACGGTAGGCAGGTCCGCAGCTACGAAGCTCGGAATGGAAATGCTGGGCCCCAACACCAATATAAATTAGGGGACCTAGTGCAGGTACGTAAATGTGCACGCGACCGAAAACTCGCTCTCAAATTCTCTGGCTGCTTCCATGTTGTCGAGCTCGGTCCTAACGGCGCCAACACGGTGCGCATCGCGCCCGAGGCTAGTGCCAGCCATAGCTCTGTCCCCATCGTCTGGCATACCTCCTACCTTCGTCCTCTTCCTCCCTCTCATCTTCCTCCCTCTCATCTTCCTCCCTCTCATCTTCCTCCCTCTCATCTTCCTCCCTCTCCCTCCTCCGAAAGCGAGGAGAACGACGACGATCTAACTCTCTCTCCGCTCTCTCCCCCCTGCCCTTCGTCTTCCTCCCCGTCCTCGCCATGAGCTTCATCACGGAGCGAGCTCTAGATGATCAACCGCTGCAACCACGTGACCACATCTCGGAAATTCGGCAAGTTCATCATCCACAACTTAATACGGATCTTCGGCGTTTGGCGCAGTTCTTCTGCGACGTGGGTGTGTGTGCCCCGCCGCGTTTCGATTCGAAGGGAGCTCACAAGCAATGGTACTAGCGGAAGTAATAGCAGTTCATTGGCGAGCGGCTCCCGGAACGAGCCACGTCACCACGGTTGCGGCTTTTAGCGGCGACATCAGTTCGGTCAATCCACGGTGGCATACCGCGATCTTGACCTCACTGCGAGAGTGAACGGAGCAGGTGTCCAACGTGTGGCAGCACGGCCTCGCCCAACTAGGGCACAACCTCATCCCGACCTTTGCGCCGAATCTTGGCGAGATCCGCCACTCTCCGCGCAAGCCGCCGATTCCAATCCCCGCCCTCGTCCCTTTCCCACACCCCCAATGAACCACGCTGTTCCTCTCGCTCCTCTCTCCATCTTTGGTCTCCCCTCACTTTTCCCCACCTTATGGGAGTCCGATCTTCATCCTTCTCTTTCCTTCTCGTTCGAGCCTCTTTTTGTCCCGCTCATTAATCCTGGGCATTGGCGATTGTGGTGCGAAACTTTTGACGAGCTATCCTTGTGCTTGGCCCGAGTACAGGTTACGTGGACGCAGACACGAAAGCATCCTGCGTGGATCGAAAATTTGGAGCTGCTGATCATACAAGCTTGGAAGACCAACATGGAGGGCGATCTTCTCGGCTTTCTCTTTGGATCGGTACGGCCGGGCCGCCGCCAGTTGATTGTGCAGGAGCTCATCGCGCTGATTGTCCAGTTAACGGACGATCCCTCGCCCGATATCTTCTCGCAAAGTGACAGCCCTGCCCCACACGTCCTCACGCGGTCGTTGGATCCATACCTTCAGTGGACTGCGTGCTTGGAGGAGCCCAGGGACCCAGATATGCTACCATCACGACAGGAGTATCTGAAGCCTTACGACATCATCCCTCACACCTTTTATCCAAAGGCGGAGGAAGTGGTGATCGACGACGACGAAGAAGACGACGACGAGGAAACGTCGGAGGAGGGAAGCTATAGCGAGTATAGCGAGGGGGAGCTGAGTGAAGAAGAAGAAGAGGAGGAAGCAACGCGCACGGGCACGGTGGCGGAAGACCCTGAGGCTACGTGTAGGCGAGAAGAGATTGCCGCCGGGAAACGCCAGCTAGAATTCGCCAGCGGAGCAAGTCAGCGCATCGGTGACGATTCGACCAGGGATCCGGAACCGCCAAAGCCCGGAGATGGCAACCCCGCAGCCGCCGCCTTAAGTACCACGCGACGGAGACGGAGCAGATCCCCCTCCTCGTCCAGCCCCACCCGTCCCCCAGTTCGTGCACGTACCGATGCGGGTGATAGGCCTTCGTCCTCGGATGTTATCCCGCCGCCCCCTTGATTTCCTCACCCTCGAACAGATCCACACCCCCGTCACCTTCCCCCTCCATCCCTTCCTTCCCCATCTCTTTCACGATTTCTACTCTACACGCCTACTCGCTACCGTCTACCCCCACCCATCCCTTCAGCCCGCTGCCCCCACGTTCTGCTGGCATGTCCTGTTGTTCAGCGCTGCATGGGAGCGATGCAATATGGTAGAAGTCTACTGCGTAGCCACGGGGACAATCCCCGCCTGTCGCCACTACGAGCTCTTTCGAGCGGCGCTCCTCCGCACCCTCTCCTCCTTCGATCGCGACTACCTCGCTTCTCTCCCTCATAGAGACGATCGCTTTCCTCGCTTCCACCGGATCATCCGATATGAGGAGCTTCCGGTGACGGTAGAAGGGATGAATCGCTACCTACCCCCACTTCCTCCCCATCGTCCCTGTGAGCTCCCCTCCATGTACCGCCTCTACTGGCCCATTCCAACTAGGCAGTAGATCCCGGT